CATCCCGCCTATAAAGTGAAGATGAAATATATACATGTTTTCCCACTTTGCGTTGTAATCAGGAGATGCTTGGATTCTTTTCAGGGAATGAACCTAACACCAGAAGCCAAATAGACCCTAGCAGCATTTACATACTCACTGAAGTCAATTTGAAAGACAAACGGGATGTCCTAGAAGCTCATTTGTACAAGACACAACATAATTCCTTGACCATCATTCACTTTGTCTTTGCTGCTTCAGCCTCATTAAAAAGCAGTTTTTAAATGACAGGGAATTACAATCATGTACTCCCTTGTATTGGCTATTTGCTATAATATTACAACTTTTTAGGCAGTTACCAGGTTTTAGTAAGCACAATTTTAAGCGCTTTACATATATTACTCTGCATAACAACACTGTGGTTAATACTATTTTTGCACCCTTTTTACATTTAGGCAAACTAAGACAGAGTGGATAAATATATTGCCCTAGATGTACTGGGTTCCTATTGGTATAACAAATTACCACAAACAACTTAGAACAGCACACATTCATAAACTTACTGTTGGTCAAGAGTTCACACACATCTTAAAGGCCCTTTGCTCAGGGTCTTAATGAGGCTGCCATCAAGGTGTCAGCTGGGCCACCCAGACCCTAAGGAATAGCAAAAGTAGGAAACAGTAGTTTGAGCTCCTGTCCCTATACTCTTAACCACTTCCCTGTGCTTGTCAGATAACCCAGGATGGCACACACACTGCCGAGGAGAGGACTTCATCTGCTCCAGCACCCCACGTCTTGCTTGCTGAGCACTGTTGGGTGAGTGTGGCTTTACATTCTCAACCACCGCCTCCCTCCTTAGAGAGAAAGTTTCCTTCAATTCTTGTGTTTTACATTGAGTCTCCTGGGACATCTTCACCTGACCCAAGTGTTTTACCAGAGAAATCTTTTCTTTTCAAGGAAAAGAAAAAAGGAAGTACAGGTTTTAAACATTCCTTGACTTTTGAAGATAAATATTTACTTTGAAGAAAAGACAAGAATTTAAAACATCTTCCTTAAGACTTCTGGTCAAGATGGAGGTATAGGTAAACACACTTTGCCTCCTTGTACAACCACAGAAGGAATGACAGCTAGGCCTGAAAACAAGTAACACCAAGAACCATCAGAAAATCAAGCTGTGTGGAAATCCAACAACCAAGGATTTAAAGAAGCCACGTTAATCCAGATGGGTGGGAGGGGTAGAAACATGCAGAGACAGTTAATGGTTTGAAACGGAGATGTGGCGGAAGCAGAGTGGGCAGTCCCACATTCATGTGTGGTGGATAAAAATAGGGAGGATGCCTTGGGAGTGAGTGATCCCCACCTCAGGCCACATCACACAACCCAGGGTTCCAGCACCAGGGAGATAAATACCCATAACTTCTCGTTGTAAAAATCAGTGAGGCAGCAGGCAAAACTGCCAGATTTTCAGGAGGGTCCACTCAAAGGGCCCAGGAGAACTTAAAATGTGGCAAACCTACCCCTTCTGGGATTCAGCACCATGGCAACTGCTGGAAGGGCACCAGTCACACAGGGTAAATGCCAGGCGAACCTCCAGAAGGCAGGCAGTGACATTGTCCCCTCTCCAAGACCACCCCCTCACAGAGCCACAAAGTGGTAAAGCAGGTTGCCCCACCCTGGCGACTACCAAAGTTTCTGCCTCACACAATCTACAGGTGCCTTTTCTGCAACAGGCCATGCTACTGAGACAGGGAGTCAAAGCAGCTCTACCTAATACACAGAAATAAACACAGGGAGGCTGCCTATCTGAGGAGACAAAGAAATATGGCCCAAATGAAAGAACAGAATAAACCCCCAGAAAAAGATTAAATGAAATGGAGATACTCAACCTATCATATGCAGAGTTCAAAACACGGGTGATTAGGGTGCTCAAAGAACTCACGGAGTATGGCAATGAAATAAAAAAAAGGCTCAGGAAGAAATGAAAGTCACACCAAGTGAAATGAAGAAAAATCTACAGGGAACCAACAGTGAAGGGAAGGAAGTCGGGATTCAAATCAATGATTTGGAACATAAGGAAGAAATGAGCATTCAACTAGAGCCGTAAGAAGTAAAAAGAATTCAAAAAACCAAAGATAGTATAAGAAGAGTATGGACATCTCCAAAAGTGTTGACATCCAAATCATAGGGATGCCAGAAGAAGAGGAAGAGCAAGAAGTAAAAAATTATTTGAAAAAATAGTGAAAGAAAACTTCCTTAATTTGGTGAGGAAATAGACACACAAGTTCAGAAAGCACAGAGTCCCAAACAAAATAAATGAAAAGAGCCCCACCCCACAATACATCATAATTAAAATGCCAAATGTCAAAGATAATTAAAATCTTGAAAGCAGCAAGAGAAAAACAGAGGGTTACCTACAAAGGAGTTCTCATAAGACTGTCAGCTGTTTCTCAAAAGAAACTTTGCAGACAAGAAAGGACTGGCAAGAAGTATTCAAAGTGATGAAAAGCGAGGACCTACAACCTAGATTACTTTATCCAGCAAAATTATTTAGAATGGAAGGGCAGAAAAAGTTTTTCTCAGCCAAGGTAAAGCTAACAGACTTCATCAACACCAAGCCATTATTACATGAAAGATTAAAGGGAATTATTTAAGGAAAAAAAAGAAGATCAAAACTATGAAAATTAAAATAGCAACAAACTCACAACTATCAACAACAGAACGTATTTAAAAAACTAAGCGAACAAGAAGAACAGGAAGAGAATCATAGGTATGGAGATCATTTGGATGGTTATCAGCTGGGAGGGGGAAGGGGGAGAATGGAGGAAAGGTACAACGAATAAGAAGCATAATTGGTAACTACAAAATAGACAGGGGGGTATTAGGAGTAGTATAGGAAGCAGAAAAGACAAAAAACTTATAGGCACAACCCATGGACATAAGCTAAGGGGTAGGAAGATTGCTGAAGGGAATGAAGGTACCAGGCAGAGGGTATGAAAGGGGGAAAAACTGAGACAACTGTAATAGCATAATCAATAAAATATATTTTAAAATAAATAAATAAAACATGCTACTTAACTACAAAGAACTCTCCCTGGACTTGGTAGGGGGAATAGTTCTCATGAAAAGAGTGAAAAAACATTGAATGAAAGTTCCTCTTTCAATAATCTCTCCCAAACAGAAAGCTGTTTTCTACCTTCTTTTAAAAAGGTTGCTTAGATCCTTAAAATGAATTCCCCAGTGACATGTTCTATTGAGCATCATTGAACACATTTATCTTCCCATTGTACCTATTCCTTAAAATGAGACTGTTCAGACCAACACAGTAAGGTGTGGTCTTCCAATATCTGGGAATTCCAGCTCCACAAAATTCTGAAATCAGGAGGAAAAAAACTCAGACTCTATGGTGTCTGAGTTCAGAGAACTATTAGTGAAGCCCAGGCTCGTACCTGGGTACAAACAGGGTGCTCTGCAGAGGGCCACCTGGCCTTCTGGGGACACACATGCTGCACTTCAGCCTTTCCTAACTTCGCTCACAACTGTGGGGCCATGTTGTTGTGGAAAAAAAGAAATTCTGTTTGCATTGGAAGAACTGTACCTTCAAACAGAGATATTTTCATTGCCACGAAAATGATAGGTACAGCTGGAAGAATGAATCCTCTTGTTTTCACAGCCCAAGTGACAGCAGAAGCAAAATCCTGCCCTGGTATTGGTCACAAGCAGTGACAGGGAAGTGATGGAGCAGGCAGGGGCATCGGAGGCAGATTGGTCACGTTCTCTATGGAGCAGGAGATCTGCGTGGCATTGGCATTGTGTTCAGCTCCATGACAACGATGGTCAGCCTCTCAGGGGCTGGAGCCCAAAGGTGTCAAAGGGATTCTGGTGACAACATTGTTTCTGGAGAATCAGGTACCTCACTCCTCTCCGGGTCAAAAATGTGGGGACTCTACCTGGGAGCCCTTGGGAATATTATACCAATGCATCTGCTGCTTCCTGTGCAAGAGAAGCTCACCTGGGGTCTGGGCTCATCAGCAGCTTCACTGGGGAGGTAACATACGTACACACTGGGGACTTCCTGCTCCTGATGTCCAACAACCCAGCCCACAGCCTGCATGGCTGGAGAGCCCAGGGAAGTGTGAGAGGACAGGGGGACAGTCAGTGCCTGTGGGCTCAGCAGAACCACTGCCAGTCATGAGGTCACCAGTCATGGAGGGTGCCCAAGGGCCCAGTGTCCAGGGTCAGGCTGAAGGGCCTGGGGCTGTGGAAATGTGGAGGAAGGACCACAGGATTCAGATGTATGGCATTAATTTGTGGGTGACAGTGACTGTCTGGGTCATCTTTGTATTTACAGACATAGTATTGTGAGATAAGAGAAAATATATATTGGTCTCAGTGCCTGGCTCCTCACACAGTCTCCTGGAACTCTTCTACTTTCCTGGGTGACAGATGTCCCTTTTGTTCTAATGCTGTGACCCTGGGTGGGCTCCTGGGTGAGGACTGCTCACTCACAGAGGCACGATTCCAAGACTGTAATTTTGAGACCAGCCCCCCATTTCCTTGAGGAGGGAGAAGAGCTCAGGTGGAGTCAGCAAACTAATTGGAACCAAGAGAGAGACCTAGGAGTCTTTGAGTTATAACCAAGAAGTTTTATTAGACCTGAGGACCTCCTGCGTGTGACTGTCACCTGAAGAGTGGGCAGTCCCGTGTCCGGAGCCCTTCACTGCGGACCTGACACCGTCTCCAGGAAGTCGTGTGGGAGCTGAGTTGTGTGGTGGGACATCCAGCTGCTGTCACAGGGGATTGCTTCTTTGTGAAGAAAAATCACTCACACATTTCGTGACAAGAAATATCAGAAGTGAGGGGTATTATGTGAGTAGAAACCAAGATACTACAGATGAAAGGAAATGAGATTTTTACCTAAAAATAGTTATTTTGTTAAAATTTACTCCAGACTCTGTGGGGACAGTCAGTCAGGCTTTGTTACTCCATCAGGGAGAGTGACCGGAGACGCCCTGTGCTCTCACTCATGACTGTGTGCTGCTCCGCCCACCTTCCATGGACATTTCTGACTGCAGAGGAGCCCACCTTGCAGAGGCCCCCACAGAAGCTTCAGTGAGATTGAGAGCATAACCTCTGGGCCCAGGGGTTTCTGTCTCACTTCCTCGGCATCTGAGCCACTGTGTGTCACTATAGCTGCTCCCACTGCTGTGATATACAGCACAGTAATAGTCGGCCTCGTCCTCAGGCTGCAGCCCAGAGATGGTCAGGAGCCCTGCATTGGCCGAAGCGTCCTTGGATCCAGAGAAGCGACTGGGGACCCCGGAGCCCTGGTGCTTCTCTGAGTCTGATTTATATGCCAGGAGATACCGGGGAGGGCTCCCTGGCTCCTGCTGGAACCAACGTATGTAGTAGTCCACAACACTGATGTCACTGCTGAGGGTGCAGGTGAGTCTGGCTGTGGCTCCAGGAGATGCAGAGAGGAAGGGAGGCTGAGTCAGCACAGGCTGGGAGAGGGAACCTATAGACATAGACATTCATAAGGGATGTGACAAGAACCATTATAAAATTGTTTTGAGCAGGAAGAGACAAAATCAGCTTAGGGAAATCTTCTATTGTTAAATGACCAGTCCCTACCTGTGCAGTGAGAGAGGAGCAAGAGGAGGAGAGGAGTCCAGGCCATGGTGCACACAGCCCCTGAGCCCACAGTGGGGCTGGGCTGCCCAGGCCTCCTTTTCTACCCACCCTCTGCCAGAGGAGGAGCTGTCCATGCAAATGTGTGTCCATCCAAGGCCTGCCCAGCTCCTCCCTCAGCCTTGGCGCTAGAACTCAGTTTAGACCAGATCTGAGGAGGATGGAGGTAGGCTTCAACCCTTGGGGGAGCCCTGGAGGAAACACCTGCTCAGACAATACAGAAGTCAGTGTGTTCTTGCTTGGCCTCAGAGGACACAGCTGCTGTGTCCACAAGAGTGAGCACAAGCATTGCCCTAGGCGCAGGCTTCTAGGAGAGAATGGGCCTTTAATGAGTGCCTGTGTAGGGAACACAGGTAGTCCAACAGCATCTCCTGCTGGTGACAGTGCACACACCTCCCATGGCCCAAAGTCCTGAGAGCCCAGCTGCTTTCTACAGCTCAGCAGGTCACTGGCTCTATTCACATATCCAGGGTCTGATTCCAAGATACTGTGACTCTGATACACTGTACTGGTTCCTGGTGCATCTCACTCCCAGGAATCCACAACTGTGGAAGTTGCAAACTTGTATATAAATGACAAATTAATTTGGATTTGCAGTGAAGATGTTGCAAAGTAAATGCACAGTGAACTTCATGTCCAATGCCATAGATGACGGACTGTCCATATGTTTTGAAGGGCTCATAGGATCTGCTCAGGGAAATCTCCAGAAATTCACTCCTGGGCATGTGCAGAGGACTATTGAGAAAAATTTCCAGTCACATGATACATGCACACTTTTCAGAGATTTGATTTAATTAAGTGATGGGTAAAAATAATGGTTTTTGAAGGCTATACAATTAATTACCAGTATAAACTATAGCAGGTTAATACATTTCAGGAACTGTCATTTTATCTAAGATAATGATATTTTGGGCATCTATGACATTGTTCCTTGTCAAGATTTTTCTTGGGAGTCCTCAAGTTTCTTTATATTATAAACAGCATTTTCCCTCCCTGTATTTTCCTTCTCATTGTGCTACATTACTAGCAGGATACCATTCGGGTGTGATGCCTTAGCAGACGTGCTGAGTGTCTGGGCAGATGGAGGCAGAAACCATCACCTCCCTCTATGCCCGGACCCACCTCTGCTGTGCCTGTGCCCACGGCCCCATGGTCCCACGTGTCTAGACTCACGGAAATCCTAGTCAATGACAAAGACCAGGATCACTTGGTCACCTTGGGTGCTGTGTCCCCAAGGCACTCACGGGGACTTTCTCATTCAGCTCAGATATGTCACCCTCTTCCCCAAACCCTCAGGGACTCCCCACTGCTGTTTGCACAGAACCCCATATCCTGAGCTCCCTTCAGGGGCTTCATGTTTGCCCCGCCCTCTGCACCCACCACCACACAGCCCCTCCACATGCTCTTGGACCACAACCTCCCTGCTGTTCCTATTGCTTTAAAACCCTGACTCCTCTCCCTCCCTGGTGTCTGAGATGATATCTCCTCTGTTCTTTGCAAAGAAACAAGATTGAACTTGGAATCATGGTGACAACACAGATGTTGGCAACTTGGAGTCTCTCTGAGTCCCAGGGTGTGCACACGTCACCATTGACTGAAATAAGGAATTAAATGTGACACAAATAAAGAGAAAGATCAAAGAGTCACCCTCATTGATTTTACCACCTCAGCCACCATCCATAGAGTTCCTATTATTTAATCTTCCACCTTCTATACCTCTCACTTTGCTCCCCCACTAATATGACAACACCCCACACACCGTGTCCCTACATCAGTATGTGTTGTAGAATAAACATGCATTCAATGTCTGCTGTGGTCCAGCCTCGGCAGGGTCTCAGGGTCCCTGAAGGATGCACAGCTAAGGTGAAGAGACTGAAGCAAGACACCCGGTGGGGTGCCGGAGGACAGCCAGGCTTTTTGGGCCCGACTGACTCACCGAGAAAAATCAATCTTTATTTTCATAGGGGAGATTATACAACATTCAATGCATAATGTGATTATTAAAACAGAAATGGTTACCACAGAAATAACTTCTCAAAACACAGAAGATTTTACAGATTAATCATGTTAAACAAAGAAATAACTGAAAAGTACAGGAAGTTGCACAGATCAACCATATTAAACAAAGGTTATTTTCACCAAGAGGGTCATTAATCAGTTAGCCAATGAAGCTATTCAGGCACAAACTTGCAGGTGCCAATTAGTAACTAAGTATCCATTAAAATTCTAGGAATTGGTCTAAACTAAAAGGGTGCAAGGGGTGATTTATAGGTATAAAATATCAACTATTATCCATTAAAATTAAATTTATTTCAGTCAAATAACTAATTTTTGGCCTATATTTTTTTAATTATACATTTTGAGGAGGGGCCATGTTTTATGTTTGTTTCCATGTATTAAGATTATTATTCTCAACTAAAACTCCTTGTTTCTATACACTCCTATCGAGGGTATGGGAGGGATAGTGGCTCTAATAAATCTTAAGCTTTCAGGTGGTGACTCCCTAAGAAACATTCCCAGCAACAGCTTCCTTCAGCGTTCTGGCAGTTGGTCTGTTCATAGTTTAATTTTGTCCTTAACTTCCCAGGTGAGGGAAACAGGCAACATTAGGGTGGCTGGGGGTCTCTATTCTGTGGTCAGCAAGTCATTTCGTTCAGAATCAGAGGCATCGTGCAGATTTTTATTATAACACACAGGTATCCCAAAACCCCACCACCTATTGCTAGCAGGGACAGGCATACAGGAGATAGACAGGAAATCCGACCATAGTCGCCTCTGCTGTGCAGATGCATCTCATCTGACCCGACTGTGTCAAAGGTGAGCTATTGGTCGGCTCCTGACAAATGTCCCGAACTCTCACAAACCAGCAATTGATTTCAATGACTGTCACATAAATTGAAGTGTGTTGTAACCTTGGGAATGGTCAGCTGAGGACAGAAGAAAAGACCACCCCCATGAGCTAATATCTGCCCAGGGCACGATGATTGTTTGAGTGTCTTCTCACATTCCACTTAAATAACAGTCTGTAAGGTCATCAGTTGTCACCTGGGACTAACACACAACTCAAAGTCTACCATGTGATCCATGAAACATAATATTCCTTTTCTCAACCCAAAGTCCCACAAAGGACTGTAGTGGGGAAACTCATGAAGGGGGAATGGGGCCTCCTGTGTTTGGAGTCATGAGGTTCAGGGGTGACACGTGTGAGCAGGAGGAAGTCCAGACCAGCACACATGGCCTTGGACCATCATTTATCGGCTCCCTTCATTCACATCGCAGGGCAGAACCCTGTCTCATTCACACAGACATTTCAAACCCACAGTTCTTCCTTTATGAGTTTCTGCACTAGAGTACTTTGTGGGACTTTGGCTTGAAAAGTGGAATGTTATGTTTCATTGATCACATAGTGGACTTTGAGCTGTGTGTTAGTCTCAGGTGACAACTGATGACCTTACAGACTGTTATTTAAGTGAAATGTGAGCAGACACTCAAACAACCACTGTGCCCTGGGCAGGTCACATGCTCATGGGGGTCATGTTGTCTTCTGTCCTCAGTGTCTCCTCCTCACCCACCTGCTGCTCCTGTCTGTGCTCCAGAACCCACACACACCTGACCCCAAGGGCAGAGACCCTGTCATGTGCTCACTCATCATTGTGTCTCAGGCTTGAAATGCACTCCCTAAGGAAGCAAATGAAAACATAAGAAATGTGTTATCTGCAATGTGTGAAATTTAAATATATTAACTGCATACGTATTTTGGCAAAAAATTGTACTTCACTCCTGGATTTCTGTCTGGTTTTTTTGTTTGTTTCACTTAATTTTTATTATATTAGTTTCCATTAACATTTTTTCCCCTTATACTCACCTCACCTCAGGAATCACCACATCATTGTCCATGCCCATGAGTCCTTTCCTTTGGCTAAATCACCTCACTCACTGGCCTCACTCTCCCTCCACTAGCTGTCCTCCTCCTGTCCTTCACCCTGACTGAGAGGATGTTCCACATGATTGTGTCCCAGGCTCTGACCTTACGTGAGTCTGTGTAACTCCTGTGTCTAACAGACGGGAACCCAGAAGCACAGAGAGATGGCACATTAGTCTCTGTCCACCTGACTGGCATGAACAGGACTCAAATGCAAAGGCTGCCTAACAGCTGAAAACACGCCTGTTTAACCCCATGGGTCTCACCCTGGGGTTATGGGACCCCTTCAGTGATTATTTGGAAATCTGGAGGTGGTGTCGTGGGTCAATACTTAACAAGAGGGTGTCACTGTCATCTATGAGAAGAGTCCAAGGGATACATCTGAATGTCCCACATGCACAGAGCAGACCCTCCACAAGCACTGACCCACTCCCATTCCACAAACACACAGGCTCACACACCCTGTTCTGAACTAACTCACCCTCAGGAATTCATTGTACAGAAAACAGGCAACCAACCTCCCTGACATGGAGAAAATTGGAAAGAAAACAGAGAGACTCAGAAACCTGCAATCTCTACAAACATTTTCCAGCAGGAGATGGAAGAGACCACCCTGCTTGGTGGGGACAGGCTGAGTGCAGACCCAGAAGGGGAAGCTCTGGGGGTTTTGGTCTCACTTCCCCCTGAGTCTGCAGCACTGTGTGAGTATAGGTACCACCACTACCATAGTAAGCCTGACAGTAGTAGTCGGCCTCGTCCTCAGGCTGCAGCCCTGAGATGGTCAGGGAGGCAGTGTTGGAGGAGCTGTCTATGGAGCCAGAGAACCGATCTGGAACCCCAGAGGGTCTTTTGTTATTATCATAGATCACAGTGGTGGGGCCCCTGCCTGGGCGCTGTTGGTACCACTGCACATAGCTGCTCCCAATGTTGCCGCTGCTGCGGGTGCAGGAGATGGTGGCCTTCTGTCCCAGAGACCCAGACACAGAGCCGGGCTGAGTCAGCACAAACTGGGCCCAAGACCCTGCAAGGAGGAAGAACACAGAAATCAGTGAGGACAGGACAGACCC